AAAATAGTAATAGAATTGACAAGTTTAAACATAAATATAAAGGTATGTGTCAATCAAGATATATGCAAGAACAGGTTCAATGATTAATTAGATGGAACATTGTGGGTATGGTGTATGATTATCAACACTGTAATAATTCTTTAGTATATTACTTATGTGGTGTAGATGATAATTATTTAGGAATGTAATTATGTAAGAATGTTAACACTGTTATAATTTTTTAGTATATTACTTGTGTGGTGTAGAAGAGAATTATTTATGTAGAGATACTGCTTGCAAACCAATGATGGTATGATGATGTCATGGGGTAGGACTGGATAAGTCTGACTTCTTCCTACTCCATTCAAGCATGTACTAGGTATAAGCAAATTGTTTTTGGATTAGCATTTGTTGGATATGTGTAAAATTATGTGTATTGTCATATCAACTGTCTTTACATGCTTGAAAGAATAAATCAAATAAAAAATAAAAAAAATCAAAGGTGGTACTTTTGCACTGGAGAGGATTGCTGATTCCTTCATCCTGACTTGTCCGGCCTCTGCTTCTGCTAAGTTGTTACTTCTAATGGCTGACTCTGGCTGTAATGACATCTGACTCTGGGACCTGTTCTGCTGTTAAGGCAAAGTCTAGTTCTCAACCTACGTGTCCTGAACTTCCAGCATTAATTTAAATTTTCTCAGGGTTAGTTATTTTGTTCTGTGTGGATTGCTGAGTCGTGACTGTAATGTTCGGAAGCTATGTGATTGTCATTCCTTGCCCTTGATGTTTTGTGATAGCTGAGACTTTTCCACAAACCTAGTGACTTCCTCAAGGACTGCACTGAGTAGATGTAATAACACTTTCTGGAGTGTCTAATCAATCCTTGTGTTTCAATGCATCAGTGGTGAAATGAACCTGTCACTGAGCAGTTGGTTCTGAGCCTTCTGTAGACTCCTTTCATGGTGAAACCCAGGTGTAAGCTGTTAGAGATTAGCCTGTCTTGCCTGCATCTCAAGCTGAAGCACAGGTGGTTTTCTAACTGAAGAACGTCAAGTTCAGTTGACAAAAAATAGCACTCTTGGAAAAACCATGATCTAGATGACTGAGTATTTCCACAGTCAACTGTGATGATTTAATCCATAGCACATTCAGGTCTTTTTGTCCATGGTGAATTACAGAATAAGAAAAGTCTATTTTTTGAATAGAAGATCATATGTACTGACACTGTCTTTCAGAGATCAAGAAGCTAAACATGAAACTGAGGTAATGACAAAACCCAAACAAAATTAAAAATATTTTTTCCCTGTCAAAACTACATACAGTACCTTAGCTCCATCAATATACAAGGTCATGTTGTGGCCGTTGTAAGTTGCCATCAGATGAGTCCAGGCATTGGCTTGATATTGCTGGTGGCTATAGACAGTGGTAGATTTAACAGCTCGGTCTGTCCGAAGTGTGAAGTAGAACCTTGCGTCTTTGGTGTTGGTGGGTTCCACAGTGCGAATGCCCACTGACCAGCCCTTCTCACTCAGTGAGTGAGAACAGTTGTCAAATACACCTACAGGACAAGGGAAATGGAGAAAGGTAAAATAAATAATTTTGAATTAATACTGTTAGAAAAAGCATGCAAATATTATCTTGCAGCATCAAAGAGCATCAAATTTACAAATAATCATTGCCCTCAGGAAAATTAAATAGACACACAAACAAGCAAATTGTCCAAGTGATTGTAGTGCTGTGGACATAGGAAGACTGAGAGAGAAGCACAGGGGATGAGGCCCACATAGAGAGAGGATAAGACAGAAACAGAGAGAACTGACAGAGCAAGAAACAGCGGGAAAGAACAGAAAGGGAAAGGAGGACAGAGGTATTTCACTTAGCCAAGGCAAGGCCCCAATGTTTCCATGTGCTGTTGCAACAGATCCACATCTGCTATGCAGATGTCTAACACTGGGACAAGGAAAGGTCAGGGAACCCCTTCACCCTCCTCAGTGTTGTGTGTGCATGTGGAATATAAATGTGTGAAGAACGTGAGCCAGATTCATGGTTAAGGATTTAATTCAGTTTTTAAAAAGCTGTTCTATGAGGCCATAACTTTGCCAAGTGAATAAGATTATATATTGCTACTGCTCAACCAAATTACACAAATACATTAGTATTAATATGCATGTGTAGCAGTGAGAGTGAACCAAAATGGTCAAGTTTAGGCCAGAAAACAAAAATAATGAGCTTAAAGATGTAAAAACTCTCTGTAGAGCTGACAGGCACTACAGAGCTCAGGTGATACTTCTCTGTGGGTTTGTCACTATAAGAAATCCCATTCACATGCTCATTTGATTCACTGATAATGTTAAAATATCATTTATAAATGCTCCACATACAAGTGTAAGCTACTGAAGATAGTTACATGCCATAATGATTTCTGGATAAATAAGTGCAAGTTGTCCACTTGACTGAGTTACTTTTATTTTGGATCCATTTTCAAGCTGGTAAAACACTCAGCTTTAGTAAGCTTCATGGCCAAATGAATCACTTGCTCTCTTCCTCAGACAAACAGATCGCCTCTGCATTCATTAACAGAGGAAGAGAGAAACAACAACCACGGCACACTCTTGCAGCTCCAGAGGAATTTTTTCAGTGTTATTTTTGATAATTTGAGAAGGACACGTGTTCAGTCTCACCCTGCTGTATTGTTACAACACATAAGTACTGTAAGGTCATCACTGGTCATTAGAAATTAAACCAATGTCACATTAAGGAGAAACAACAGGAGTTGGTTTTTCATTATAATGGTCAGACTCTTTCCGGAGACTACAAAAAGAAAGGCCCATGCCACAAAATCCTGCCCTCACATAAGGAAGCAATGAGGGGAAAAAGTTGAGTAATGGAGTCTGATCTTTGATCACAGTAAATGTGAGTGGACATAACAGTTTGTGGTCTCCCTCACTATCTGGCCAGCTGCGATTCTGCACCACAGGGAATTTATCCTCTTCAATCTGCTTGATGTACGTGCTGTTTTGTTAAATGTGCAGCTTTTTTACTATACCATTCATGATGCAGATTCATTGGAAAAACAGTGATGTTCATTTTTATGTGTAAACTTGTTAAATGAAGGTTTCATAAGATAAGTGTCTACAGCCACTAATCAAAATCAATGGAAAGCCACAGGCAAGCTAACTATGAGGAGAGAGTGAATGAAACACATCTTGGGACTTGTAACAGTTATGTAACCACATATTCATACAGAGTCTGTCTCTAAAATGAAAATACCATTGTATTTGTTTTGACCAAAAAGAGCCTAAAAAACAGTGTCATCAGTTATTATCAGAAAACTCATTTTAGGCTATTGTTGAAGTTATTAGCTGGGCCTAATAGCTTTTGAGGCTGCAACCACCTGTTACCCTTATCATCATCATTACCACCAATCAATGTCATCATTATAATAATCACATTAATCATCACTGCAGTATGAGTGGGGATGTCGTTTAGTCAAAGATGTTTTCTTTTTGCTTTTCATGTCCTGAAGTTGCTTGTTTGATTGCACATTTGTTTTAGATTTGATAAGAAACGTAATTGCCATTTATGTGTGGAAAATGGAAATGGCCACTGACAAATTATACCAGTATCATTCATGAACTGGGGGAAAAATTCAGTACCAAAGCCTGAGTTTACAGTGTTATTTCTTATGCTGGTAGAGAGGGTGTCTGACTCCTGAACTGAGACTGGGAGCTGGTTCCACAGGAGAGGAACTTGATAGCTAAAGGCTCTGCCTCCCATTCTACTTGTGTGGACTCTAGGAACCACAAGTAAACCTGCACTCTGAGAGTGAAGTGCTCTGTTAGGATGATAAGGCTCTATGAGGTCTTTAAGATACGATGGAGCCTTGTCATTAAGGGCTTTGTATGTTAGGAGAAGGATTTTAAATTCTATTCTGGATTTTACAGGGAGCCAGTGGAGAGAAGCTAATATGGGAGAGATATGATCTCTCTTGCTAGTTCCTGTCAGTACTCTGGCTGCAGCATTTTGGATTAACTGGAGGCCTTTTAGGGAATTATTGGGACATCCTGATAGTAAAGAGTTACAGTAGTCCAGCCTGGAAGGAACAAATGCATGGACCAGTTTTTCAGCATCACTTTGAGACATGATGCTCCTGATTTTTGCAATATTGCGCAGGTGAAAGAAGGCAGATCTAGAGACTTGGTTTATGTGTGATTTAAAGGACATATTCTGATCAAAGATGACTCCAAGGTTCCTCACAGTAGTACTGGAGGCAAGAGCTATGTCATCTAAAGTAACTATATGATTAGACAGCAGATTTCTAAGGTTTTCAGGCCCAAGTACAATAACTTCAGTTTTGTCAGAGTTTAGAAGTAAGAAGTTACAAGTCATCCAGGCCTTTATGTTTTTAAGACATGCTTGAAGTTTGAACAATTGATCAGATACTACTGGGACAAATGACTCTGCAATCAACATGGGGCTGTTATCTGCTTTGCCTCAGCACACTTTGACTTGGAAACAATGGGAAAGCCAAACTCGACTAAACCCATGAATGTATGCAGTGATGAACGCATTGTCATCACTTCAGCAATTGCCAGCAAGGAGGTGATGAGGGCTTGTTTCCTCCATTGATAATTTTGGTGATCACCATCTCAGCCATGTATTCCATCTGTCTTCATTCAATGCTCTAACACAGAGTTTTTATACTTTGGAAGATGAACAAAAGTAAATATGAAAAAATAATGCTGACTGTCCTACTAGCTTCCATGCTGTTTTGTTTAAAACTCTGTTTACCGATGCAGGTATTAGACATCACCTATGTGATGATGTCAAATATGATGTACCAGAGGGGAAACAAGCTCGTCTGCTGGATAGCCAAAGCGGGTTGGTTGGCAATGGAAATGCCTTAAGAGGCCAGTTTATCTGGGTATAAAAAGGCCATGTATACACAGCACCTTTGGTGGGAAAGCGGTATAACACAGACATGCTGATGATTTAGATGAAGCAATTGTTGAGGTCAGCTCAGAGAGATCTATGGAGAGAAGTAGTCTAAATACAAATGAAGTCTGACAGATGTTTTTAAAGCCATTGTACTTGATGATACATCTGTGAGAGTTGGGGGAAGGATCTGATTAATTTTTTCTCTAATAGTTGTGATTTTATTTGTAAAGAATCTCATGAAGTCATTACTTCTGAGATCTAAGGGAATATTAACAGCACTGTGGCTCTTTGTCAGCCTGGCTACAGTGCTGAAAAGAAACCTGGGGTTCTTATTTTCCTCTATTAGTGGTGAATAATATGTGGTTCTAGCACTACAAAGGGCTTTATATATATGTTATTAAACTATCTTTCCAGGCTAGGAAAACCCAATCTGACTTAGTGGAACACCACCTCCTTTTCAGTTTTCATGATGCCTGCTTTAGGGAGCGGAGCTGCAAGCTGTACCACGGGGCCTCCTCTGTTTCACTACCTTCTTTTTCAGAGGGGCAATGGTATCAAGTGTATTACGCAGGAAGGCTGCAGTACTATCAACAAGATTATCGATTTGTGTGGGAGTAAGGTTAAGGTGGCCTCCTTCCACTGTGTTGGCAAACGGCACTGAAGTAGATAAAGATTGAATTATTTCCTTAAACTTGGTAACAGCATTGCCAGATGGACATCTGCTGTAGTGGAATTGTTTCCCACATAGAGTATAATCCATTAATGGAAATTCAAAAGTTATTAGAAAATGGTCAGACAGAAGAGGGTTATGGGGAAAAACTATTAAGTGTTCAGTTTTGATGCCATATGTCAGAACCAGATCAAGAGTGTGATTAAAACAGTGAGTGGGTTTATTTAGTTTGAGAGAAGCCAACTGAGTCTAATAATGAACAGAATGCATTGTTGAGGCTGTCATTGTCGGCATCTACATGAATATTAAAGTCGCCTACTATGATTATTTTATCTGTACTAAGCACTAAATCAGACAGAAAGTCTGAGAATTCACTTAAAAACTCTGAATAAGGAGCAGGTGGACGGTATACAATAACAAACAGAACAGGCTTTTGAGTTTTCCAGTTTGGGTGTGAGAGACTCAGGGTGAGACTTTCAAAAGAGTTATAACTATGTTTAGGTCTAGGGTTGATTAATAGGCTTGAGTTGAAGATCGCTGCAACACCTCCACCTCGGGCTGTGATAGGTGGGGTGGATTCATTTAGATTTACTTTGTGTTGTATCCAGGTTTTAATAAGACCACATAAATCAATGTGATGTTCACTTAACAAATCATTCACTAACTGAGATTTAGATGAGAGAAATCTGATATTTAATAGTCAACATTTGATTGTCCTGTTGTTTTGTTCTGTAGGACTAATTTTAATTAGGTTCTTATGAATAACTCCTCTTGAGTTGGTTGTTGAGTCATATAATTTAGGTGGTCAGGGAGCAGACACAGTCTCTATAGGGTACTGGGAATTTTGGGTGGGTAGCAGCTGCAGAGAGACTGCAGATGCGTGTAAGACTGCAACCCTGCATCCTGGTTTCAACTCTTGGTTGTCATAATTTAGGTTGTAACATAGAGTGCATAAGCTGATGCTTTACCAGAGCATCCAGTTCACTCTGAAGAATAGGCCAAGGGATACTGGGTACCAATATTGATATGTGAGAGCTTTAAAAATGTACCAGTAATCACTTTTTAACATAAAGGCTTAGTATAAACAATGCTGCTAGTGATCTCTGCTATTACTTTGACCGAGACAATGAGTGGGACATTTTACAACTGAAGAATAAAGTTTTCAGTTTCTAAATTACCCCAGACCTGCTTTGTAATTTCTGTACTGCACTTTCTTATTACTTTTTGGCCAACATATACGTCATTAACAATATATCTGAAATAACTTGATATCAATAAATATATGAACCTGGCCAAATTATCAGTTCAGTTCTATCGAAAGCGCACCAGTCTTGCACTTGATAGATGATGAATAACAATCCCATGGCTTGTTTTTGCAGCTTCAGTGGTGTCAACAACAGACCTAAACTGACATATGTTTATGTTCAGTTGACAAAGCCCTCTAGCAGTCATAGTGATGATGGGAGCAAAGGAGGAAATCAGGTGACCTTGTTTACACTGCAACAAAATACACTTAGGAGGGAGGTCAGAGTAGAAGATCAGCAAAGCATTAGTTATTAATATGGGGGACTGCTGTTTAGCAGCTGATAGCAGTGCATTGTTCCTCATGAGCATGACCACAGTTGTTCTGTAACTTTAACCATTATTTAGTTTTGTAATCTTACTTATTTTAATCCAAACCATGACTTTTCTCTAAACCTAACCAAACCTTTACCATAGCACTGTCACAACATAAAACCATTACTTACAGTACATTTTTCAGTGATTTTAATACTTCATATAGCATATCTCCTGTTGCCATAGTGACACTTATTCAAGAGATGCTCATATTGGTTTTATTAGAGAGTACAGACAAACAATGTAAGTGATTATTTTATGATCATTGTTAATATCATTAGGGATGCAGAAAATAGAAATATAATTTCAGTTGCAACCTACTCAAATTGAGAAAAACAGAAAAGCCATAAAACCTCAGAATCAAGAAGCTGACCATTAGCTGTTTCATTAATTTCTGTCAATTACTTAAAAATTTAATTAACTGTTAATTACAATCACAATTTAATTAATTGTTTTATTAAACAATTAAACATTTAATCATCTGTTTCAGCAGCAAATCATTAGGTCATCATATATTCCTGATCAGTGATGCTTGTCATCACTATCTCTATATCTGCAGTAGAAACTAGGCTTAAGAGTAAAACTCTGGATAAACCCTGTCTGACCTTTGTCATAGAAACAAACATCCTGAGACCAGTATCTTTTCCTTGAAAAACATAACAAGATCATTTCACACAGCACAGGTTTATGGCCTATTATACTGTATAGTAACCCTAACAAATGTTACTGGGGTTACCAAATATAGCGGCTGACACAAGCTGTTTGCAACAACATTCATCGTCTTAGGTCTTATTCTCAGAATGAGAGAGAACAACCAATTGCAGGTAGGCAGAAATAGACTGGAGTCTGACTATAGCCACAAAACAATTAAAAGAGAATACTGGATTTGGGCAAGTTGACAGGCCTGTTAATCAAAAACAGAAGAATGATATAAATACCTTGCAGAATGAGCAGGCAGCTTGTGACCACTAGGACACTTCAAATCCACAAACAGACCAGTAAGATTGGAGATAAATACAATTATGTATTACCCCATTACCCTCATGTGGTCACTGAGCAAGTAGTAATTAGTGCGCCCAAGAGACATGGTTACAGCTCTCAGGCGGGGCGTTTTTGAGACATGACATGTCCTATTGTGTCTTTGATACAGGCATCAAAATTAAAATAACACCCACCTGCTATTATTGCAGGGTTGCTTTGTCCTCCTTCAGGTTTCACCCACAGCTCCAGGCTGAACTTGGCCCTCGGCATCTCCACCCCTGCTGCCGGCTTCAACCTCAGCTGCTCCCGACGCCGGCTGAAATACAGGGCGGTCATCCAGGAAGGAGGCACCGTAGGCACTGCCTCTTCCACCTCCCCGGAGTAGTTCTCGGTACTGTCCTCCACATTCACATTCCCTGCAAAGGGCTGCGGGTCTCCATCTCCCTGCTGCAGTCTGTAGAGAACTTCGAGACGCCTGGGATCTGTTGAGCTATTGGGGGAAACTTTCTCCCAACTGGAGTTTCCTTCTTTCTCATGCGTAAATTTCCCATCAAGGCTGCGAGCGAACCTGTAGCGGGATCGGCGTGGAGACTGTGCGTGGCCCGAGGAGGAGGCGCTCTGCCCGGTGTCTTTAAGCAAGAGCTTTCTGGGCATTTGTTGTGTGGCGTCCCTACCGACATGGTTTGAGTCTCCCCAGTCACTTGAGGAGCGTTTCTCATACAGCCATCCAGGCAATGTAACATATCCATTCTCAGCTCCCGGCGCCACATCTCCCCTATCGCCCCAGGCTCCCTTCTCCTCGACTCTACGCACACCAGCGTCAAACCTGCACCCTCCTACACAAACCAATGGAGCGCCCTGTAGAGTGTACAACTCTTTCCGACTCGTGTGTGTCCACGAACGGGCCGCTGGAGGGCGGTGTTGGGACGGCGAAAAGGAGCGGGGCTGCCGCCGGGATCTCCGGACACCGGAGACGGCGCAGGGTTCACCTGCTTGCCTGGAGACCTCACGATCCGCTCGACGGGCCATGGCGCGTTTGTACCGGTTGAGTGCATGAGAGCCAACCGGGTTGAGCAGCCACTTGTTAGTGATGAGTACGAGGGAGATAGCCAGTAGTCTGATCAACAACATTTTAACAGCTTGGGAAAGGTGTTTTGAAGGGGTGTTTGTTGAGAATAAAAGGGGACAAAGATTTTAGCCCTTCAGAGCTCACTGTTAGCAGCAAAAGGTCTCACACCAGGCGGTGCTTATTAGATTTATTTACGCACATTTCTCCAGCAAATAAAACTGCTTTTTAGGCAGCCTGTTTTCGGAATTTTTAAGTAATCTATTTTAGTAAACAAATTAGGACTCAGACATAATCAATGCGTTCAGTGCAAATAAATCAAACTGATAAAGAGAACGTCAAAATCAAAGTTTCTCACATGGACTTATTACATATAGAGGTTCTAGGAGTCTCCTAGTTTTGAAGTAGATATTTAACACTACTGAATAATCACAGAAAACATTCAGATCTTAACCTAAACCCTTTCTTGACGCAGATGTGATGGGTCTATACGCTCTTGCACTTTGCGCGGACTTTTAGAAGTAAACCTCGGCTTCCTTCCCATTCATGTTTACTGTCTGCAAAATATCTGTAGCCTCTGGCACTACGTTTCAGCCAACCGGTATACAAAATGCCCAGCTACTTCTGTCCGTCCTTCACTAGGCCCACGACTATTTTTAAACTGGCTTTAAACGACACCGGGCTGATTACAGTTTTTAAAAGGAGAATTATTTTCTCACTGAGGAAAATGTTCTAATTTACATGTTTTGAAAATGCCAAGCTTTATTTGATTTACCAAATCATGGAAACTGACTGACTTTGCACAAAGTCTTATTTCTTTTTACCTGACCATTGCGGGATCATTTATGCGTCCTGTTGCAAATATGGCTGCAAGGTGAATCAGAGAATCAAAGGAAACACCAGAGGCAAAATGAAGTGCAGTGCAAAGTGGCAATCCTAAAATAGCTACCCTATTTTTGAGCAGAACTGTTCCTATAATTACTGAGAAAGGATAGAAAAAAATGTAAATCCATTAAATCATGGTTCGGCATCTGCGCGTCAGCTCCTTCTGGTTTATCTGCGCGTTTGCGTGCACTCCAGTGACTTGCTGCTGCTCTGCACCGGTCCAGGCACTAGTAGTAATACCCTCCTTCATTCACTATTGCATCTCTCTCTCTCTCTCGCTCTCTCTCTCTCTCTCTCTCATCCTCACGAGTCCGTAGTTGTTGTTTTTTTAAGGGAGCCCCTGCCCGCCCTGACATCACCAGTAGGGGAAGTGTGGTGGTGGTGATGGTAGAAGTGAAAGGGGGTGGGGTGGCGTCCTAACCTTGCCTCATACTTTACAAGGGAAATCCTCTACTCTCTCTCCCGCCCAATCCTGAGCTGTGTATCCCTTTGATGCAGAGGGGTTGTAAAGTGTATTTATGCATTTTTTAAAATTCTTGTCCTGACCTCATCCATCCACCCATCCTTGGTGGGAGAAATATTCAGGTCCTTTACTTGAACAAAACCAGTTGCACATGTGTAAAAAATGCCTGTAAGTAAAATTCTGGCATTCAGATTTTTATTATCCACAAAAACAATGGTGGAATGTACATAACCCAAATTAGTCTTCTGTATTTAAGTACGTACAAGTTTGAGGTAGGGTACTTGCACTTCACTTGACTATTTCTTACCACTTTATGTGCCACCACGGTTCAGAGCCACCCGGTTCTGTTAAAAATTAGTGACTTTATTGGTTTACATTGTAAAAACAAAACAGGCGATGATTTTATAAAATATGATGGGCTGTTGTAGATCAGATTACACAATCAACAGTACATAAAATAGTTCAACCTTGAATGCATTAGTAATAATAATCCAATAATAATCTCTATAGTCAGCACTTACAGGGGCCATTTTTCTGAAATATGCATGATAAAAAAAAAGCATGCCTAAAGTGCTTAAATGACATTTTCAGCACAGGATTTTTGCATGTAATGGACTATTTTTATATGGCCGTATTGCTGCTTTTCCTGAGATTACCACTGAAAAGTTGTAAACGAAAAATGTACATGTAATATTATGAGTGACAGAAGATTATATTAGATTAGATTAAACTTTATTGTCATTACTCATGTACAAGTACAATGCAATGAAATACAGTTTAGCATCTAACCAGAAGTGCAATAACAGCAGTGCAGAGTGTGGAGTATCTACAGTCTGTACTAATTTACCGATGGATATGTACAATTGATATTTATAGTAAGATATGTAAGGTAATTTACAATATACAACAGACTTTATGGATTTAATTAAGTAGTTGGAGCTACTTGTATATTATTAACAATGCATTTTATGCGTGCTTCACTTTTTGTGTAAAATCCTAATTTGCAAAGTACTCTGTTTTAAAATGGAGTACAAATGTGTTTATTTTATATTTATAAGATAGGAACTGGGCCTATTTGTCGCTCAACTATGGTGGAGTAGAAGTATAAAGTAGCATAAAATGAAAATACTCATGTAAAACAAGATAAAAAAAAAGATACCATTGTACAGTAAGCCATTTTCCACAACTGTCCATGTCTTCTTAATGAGAGGCTCTAATGTCAGCCTGCGTGAATAATGGTGGAGATGGCAGTGCCGGGGGTGGTTCTCTCCCCTCACTCCATTTCCTTCTCTCTCTTTCTCATACACATAAAAACCCATCTCTCTTTTTCTTTTTATTCCCTCTTGCCTCTGTCTATCTCGGTCACTCATGCTCTGTCTGTCTTCAGTGCTACACCACAGATAGGCACAACATCTGACTGGCACATAAAAAGAGCTAGCATCGGGTGAAAGGGAGACATAAAAGCATGGGAGGCGTAGGAGAAATGTATGAAGGGATATTATATTATTATGGTACAACCTAAAGTGAATAAACATCAAAAATATTTTTCGTTATCCTGTTTACTGATGAAGCCAAATAAACAAATGCAAAAGTTCTCTAATACACAAATCACATGAAAACAAAGGACTCTATACATCTGCATGCACATGCATATGCACTTGCATATGAGCATGCACACAGATATTTTACATATGGATATCACATATGTATACAAGGAGTTGTATGCCTCCCAGTGAGTTCTGCACTTATTGCAGCATTATTGGTTTTAAGTGTGATAAGAAAATGCGTTTCAGCCAGGGTGGGATCCTTTAATGTCCTGATCCGTTGTCTCCCTAAGCCAAACTATGTGTTTTTGCAGCTGATCATGTATGGATAAATATTCTGGCTCATGAATGATATCTTACAAATGGAAAAATAGTTTTTGGCTACTTGTGCAGGCCCTACTAATTCAAAAGACAGGTGTGCTTACTGAGATGTTTCCAGACACTACAATCTACACTGAAGTTGAAGATAGTATCAAACTTTACAGTTACAATATGCTGTCAGCAATATATACACATTTATGTTTTACCACTTGGGGATTTTAGAGCTGCCACATTTGTGCTTATGACATGCAGACAAATTCATTAATGTAGTTGATCACACATTTCCCCCCAGACCTGACTACTATTTGTCAGGCTGAATCTGCAAACAGTGCCTGGTTTGAAGCTGAAGATAGAGGAGGAGGCTGCTGGCAGTCATGGCAGGGGCCCCCAAAGGGGCAAGGGGAAAAAAGGAAAAACAATTCTTAAAGAGTGGGAGACAGGAATTCCACAATCCCAGCCTGCCTGACTGAGGGATCTGCCTGCTAAACATTCAGCTTTTTCTGCTGGCAAAGTTTGCTTTGAAATCCAGCTGCAACTGTGTTGGAAAAAAAGAAGCAAGGGAAGGGGGTGGGTTTAATAGAAGTTACCGAGAAAAAGGGAGGGAAAGGAAGGATGAGGGAGAGTAGGCAGAACAGAAGGAAGGAAGAGAATGGTGTTTGTGAAAGAGAACCTGAATGTATGTGCTCCACCAGGGCTTCACCCCCCACTGTAAGCAACCTCCACAGATTATCCTTCATCTGAGCTTGTCAGTCTTGACCCCACTGACCCTGAGGCCCACTCTCCATCTTCCTTTCTCTCTCTCTCTTTCACATACACACTTGTCCCCACTCACTCACTAATTCATTTCTCCTCACACCTTCATTATTTCCTTACATATCACTCACTCACATTTTTTTTTTACCTCTCTGCCTCTCACTAACCTCCAGTGCAACAAAACTGCTGACCACCCTGCCACCACCACCACACACATTCCCCAAGAACACACAAACAATCTGGTTCCCCATGCAAAAGAGGGGGACCCACTAGGAGAAAATACAGGCTGATGTGCAGGACAAATGAGGAGGGTAAGGGTGGAGAAAAGGGGAAGAAGGCTAGCTTTTCACCACCACTGGTATAACAGGGGAGGGAGAGAAGTTGAGGGGGGACAAATGCAACTTGGTGTATATACAGTACCACAGGTGTTTTGCTCAGACAATTTTATTTAGATGTTGCATGTGCAGAATATTTAAGGTATTCAGATTAGGATCTAAAGTTGACATTTGCCATTATATGCAAGATAAAAACACAAAGTTTTTTTTTTTTATCTCAGTGCCTTTGTTTCCCATTACTCCTATCTCCATATAACTCAGAAATCATATGTTAAAATAGGCAAATCAGTTTAAAAATTTCAATCAACATGTAACAAATGTGTATTTTTATAAAGTATTTTATAATTCATATTTTGACATCTTTTGTTGTTGCCCATCTGTATTAGCATACTGACTTTCTTTTCAGTCATACTTTAAATTAAACCCAGCACAAATAATCAAAGACATTTCAGATGATGGTCCTATCCAAGCAAATGAATGCACTCCTCACTGTATCTAGTAGTTTTCCTCTTGCTGAAAACCTTATTTCACATCCTAAGTGAGCTCTTTAATGATACATATAAACTTCTTCTGCAAACAAAAACATGGGAAAATCCATGTAGCGCGTGCTTACATGGAGGACCTCTTATTTACCCACGTGGAAGTAAAAATGGAAAAGCAAGTAGCCGGCTGGATAAACTGTGAGCATGAATATGTTAGTGCTCCTTAGGTTTTATTTTCAAAGCTGCAGGTGGATGCATGAATGACATGACTGATTTTCTTGGCACGGCTGCAAGCTACACTTTGTGAATGTGACCTAGACCTTGCTTGTTTTTGATATAAAGGCAACTGGGGGATTAAAATCACAAGCATGCGGAAACACTGTATTTTTATAGTAGACATAAGTTATTAGCTTATCTGTAGAGTATTACAAAATGAACCTTTGAGTCAATGGTGCTTAAAAATGCCTTAAGGTTCTTTTTGATATGCTGAGATATTAATATAATGTTCATATAAGCTTTCTTAAAGGGATTTGTCAGTTTAAGGTGATTAATGTGTTAAATATAAAGTATACCATTGATTTTTATTAACTGTTACTATGGGGCTATCAAGTTTGCTTTAAATATTGATGGGATTTCTCTTACACTGATGGGTGACATATTGATTAGTTTCCATATATGGTATAGAACTATATACAGTTTTGTTGCTGTTATTGTTTCTCCCAAGTTTATATTGTGAATTTCTGTGTAATGAGAAGTAATTATTTAGCACAGACATGACCACATTTAAAGAAAATGAATGCAAAAAGTGATTTCCATCCAAAACTATTGTTCTGAGGATGAATTTACAAAGCAGTTGAGTGGCCAGGAAAATAAAAAATAGCAAAGGAAATGTAAACTATTAGCACTATAATAAAAACCTTTCTTCTTGTTTTTGTTTTTGTTGAGACTAGGATTTTGTTAATTTGGGTTTGACCTCAGTTATATGGCTGTAGGTTGTTGTTTGAGTTGGTGTATTGGATTTATTCTCTGTGACAAAATAATGTTAAACCAAAAGTTTTTGCCTTTTCTGATATTTTAACATCAGAGAGAAGCTACTGAGTGCACCTTTGAGTTTGACTGATTATTGATGAGTGATTGTCATGTGCTGTATCTTGTTTCCAAGGTCAAAAATAGCCTAAACCTATATTCATCATTTCATTATCCAGTTTGATGACATAAATGGAGTGGATATATTGAATTCTAGTGGCCTAAATCACACCACAAGCTAGAGCTAAAAAACGCACTGCTTACAAAGTATTATTAGAAATGATGTTTTAACCAGCTGGTTTACTGTTTACTTGCCCCTTGCATGGGGATATGTACATACACATTGAGAGCCGAAGTACCAGAGTCAAATTCCTCGTGTGTCCGACACACCTGGCCAGTAAAGCTGATTCTGATTCTGATTTTACAGCCCTGTTGTGTGAGACTGAATAACAGGGATGTCTGTTGTTCTGGTTATTGGGCATAAGCTGTACTTTTGCTGATTCTAATTAAATAACGAATTTGTCAAGAAAAACTGAAAACTGTTACGGTAACACAGACAAACAATACGAAAAAATAGCACTAACAAGTGATATTTCCACAACTGCAGTTGAACTCCATGTCGCTAAGGGGCGGCATTTAAAAGCCAGGAGCACAGTGGGTTCTTGGGTAATCGAGGAAACTCAAGAGATTCCTCTTTGTAGCTAACCGGCTAATGCGCTAGACAACGCACTTGTGCTTGTATTACTGTCCGTTTCAGTGTCCGTGTCCTTTATATGACAGTGATTTTCCGATAAGCCGCCAGTGACAAAAGAGAAGCAGACATCAACGAACAAGTCTACATACGCTGGACGTTTGAGCACTTGCTTTCTCTCAGGATGCTAGCATGTTGCAAGCCAGCCAACTAGCTAGCCAGCCTGCTAAAGTAGCCTAATAACAGCACTGTCCGGATGCTTTGAACAGCAGCGTAGCGGATTTTGGGGTGTTTCTTGTCGGCCTTCTATGATGTCAAACAACCGGCCGCAGCAAAGTGCTGCTGGGGAAAGTTCAGTGCCTAGCACAAGTAGCACTGGCACGGGGAGCACAAACGGTGGCGGTGGGAGCAACGCTATCACAAGTAATGGTAATAATTCTGGAAATGTTGTGCCCACTCGGACCTTGGCAGCAGCCGGCGAGAGCAGCTTGTCGGTGCCAACTTTAGCGGCCGTGCCGTCGTCCCGGGGCGGTTTTGCTTCTCTAAGCAGACCCTCTGCGTCCTCATCCAGCAAAAAGAAATCCCTCCATCAAGCACCCTTATACAACGGTCTCTTGAATTCATATGAAGATAAAAGCAACGATTTTGTCTGGTTAGTTTCTGTGGAGTGGCCGTGAAAACTACTTTTTGAAAATGTTCTGTGATTGCAGGCCATTGAATGCTTAACTGTCAGTTTTGCAGAAGTTTAAGAGCCGAGGTTTGACTTGGTTTTGTCTGTTTTTCCAGTCCCATTTGCTTCGAAATGATAGAAGAGGCGCACATGACAAAGTGCGGGCACAGTTTCTGGTAAGTGTTCAGTTGTAACAGAGGCAGCATGAGAGTTGGAAACATCCAGCAAAGAAAAGAAATCAGTCTCTTGTATGTCAGATGTTCAGAATAACAACTGAAGAAGACTTGTCAACAGTAATAAGTGTGCACACTACGTGTACCAGTGATTATGAGTTTGTCTCAGAATGGGACAGAGACACCGGTGTCAAACAAGATCGTTGTTGGTGTTCATATTAAAATAATTTAAACGGGTAGTGAAAGGGAAGTATAAACTATTTTATTAAAACATTGCATTTACAAAATCAGAATAGAGCAGTGCAAATAGAGAAGCTGGACTTGTATGTTTTACAGATGCATTCATTTAAACAATGTATTCACAATGTTTCTGTGCAGTGCATTATTTAACAAAAATAAAATTATTTGCTCAAGAACATAACTTTTATAAAGTGTGCAATATGTCCTTTCAGTGTTAACAAAAAACACTAAAATGTTGGTTTTTAAAATCATTTGTTTTCATAAAACATTGTGTTCAAGTGCACACATGACTACTGCTGGTGACCTGTTAATACATTTGAGTATGCCTAAACAATCCTCAACACGTTTACTCTTAGCCTGTGTACTCTGTACATTCCTCATGAACTAGCTTGTGTCATCGGTGTTCCTGAACACATAAATTTAACTTGGTAAACTTATTGCTTTTTGCATTTATTATACACATTAAATCTGCCTGGTGGTTTTAATGTTGTGGTGGAGAGACAGCATGGGAAACATTTAATGCTGGCTGTGGTCGACACACAGTATATGAGAGCTGGCTGCAGAGCGCTCATGCCGACCCCCGTCCACCACAGCATTTAACCCACCTAGTGGCTTTTATGTTGTAGCTGCTCAGTGTAATGCTTACCTGTTTACATTTGTTTCGTGTTTACATGAATGCAACACAAACTCAAATGCATTTTGCACCTGGTATTAGTACAGCCCAAGGTTGTGTTTCTAAATATATAATTACCATTATAAAATAGGCTAGGTAACCATGTTACTTAAAATCAGGTACATGATCATTTTAGTTTGATAATTTCTTACATTTTTAACTAAAATGTATGACTTACTTAGCTCCAGATCCCCTTATTCTGCAACTCTAACATGTCATGCTCCCCTGCCACAGCAGATACGTTTTGCATAGTTGCACTGGACAGCCTTCCTTCCGATTGTAAAATGAAGTGCTCCCAAACTTTAGAAGAATTGGTTGTCCCCTCTTCTCTGCTGTAACCATGCTCAGTGCCATCCACTGCTTCTCAGATGTTATATGTCTCACTGATGCAGGCACCAGTCACTGACCCAGCTGTCTCACACAGCTACAGGACTAGACCCAACTAATCCATAATTAAATTCGTTGCCAACTGTTTAATTATTGATTTTTATCAATTAGTTGCTGCAGCCCTAGACATCATTTAATTGCTGGAAACTCAGACTGTCACTGTGTTGTTGTTTTACATTTCCTTGTACTGTGCCATTTATTTCTACTTATTCAGTTTTTTCCTCCTTCCTGCAGTTTCAAGTGTATCCGCCAGAGCCTCGAGGACAACAACAGATGTCCCAAGTGCAACTATACTGTTGATAACGTGGATCAACTGTACCCAAACTTTCTTGGTAGGTATAACAAATCAGAACACCAAGGTTTGTTTCATATTAAAGTTGACCTTCTTTGCTCTTTTCCTATTTCTCTGTTGACACCCGCGCCATCCCCTGCCCCCACCCCCCCAAAACTCTGTAATGAACCTTTTTCTATGGTGCTAGTCAAGTTAGCTTGGTGCAAAGTGACCATGTTGTGCTGTGTAATGATCAAATCATTTGAAATCTTTTTGTCTGACATTATAAAGTGTTTGTACTGCAAAACACAAAGGGCAGGCTCTTTTCTAATTAAGTTAAAATTCAAGTGAGTGAGAATGATGGTCTGCAAAAGAAGGAAAACTTTTTGTCTCGTCAAGACTTTAAACATATCAGTGAGAAATATTTGACCAAATACTTATTATATGCTGCTTAGCTCGCATATTAAAGCTGTCCCAACATGTTTTGAATATTAACTGCCTTTCAAAAGTGAAACTTTTCAGTGTTTTTAATCCAAAAAAACCTTATAAAAGTTCTAACTACAAGCTCAGCAGATTGCTTGGTTATAAAAGATTCCAAATGCAGAAGACATTAATTTAGGTTAAAGTGTGAAGTTCACTTATGAATGACCCAGTTTATCTTCTAACATGATGAAGAAGAAAGTGTAAAAACTACAGTGTAAATCATCTGTATGCATTCAAAACTGCCGAATTCTCTCATTTACCCCTTGTCTGTCCCTTCCTCCTCTGTTCCAGTAAATGAACTGATCCTTAAACAGAAGCAAAGGTCGGAGGAGAAGAGACTAAAATTAGATCATCCTGTAAGTTAAACACACACATAGCCACTTTGTTTTTCCCTTTCTGCAAATCCTTTAGCCTCTGATTTTCACTCTTGCCTTAAAGGAAAATTCATTATTTGTTACTGGTCAATGTCTCTGGCTTTAGAATGGGTCCAGGTGGCAGGTTTTCCAGGATGTGCTGAGTCCTGACCAAGAGAACTTGGACCTGGCAAATGTCAATCTGATGCTGGAGCTCCTCGTTCAAAAGAAGAAGCAGCTGGAGGCAGTAAGTAAGGGACTTTGGGCCATCGCACATGCAATTTGTATTCTTTGATCCTAGCCAGTTATTGCATTTTGGCTGTTTATCTTCACATTGTTCCAGGAGGAAAGGTTTAATGATGAATATTAGAGTCAGATACAGAAACAGATTCAGATTCACAAAAGTTAATTGGAGTGAAGAATACGTTGGGATTGTGTTTGACCACATAAACTGTACAAAAGAATTAAAGTGACCACATGATTGTGGTGGATCAGTGCTTGTATGTTACATTGAACAATGAGTGGCACAGTCGCTGGTTAAAACTGTCACCTCACATCAGGAAGATGCTGGGTTTTAGTCTGTTTCCTTGGCCCCCGCACCTGTACACTGGATACATTTTGGACCATAATCATTTATCATGAAACCAAGAATATAGTCAATAATGTATAGAAGATAGAATAATTTTAAAAAGTAAAAGTTTTCTTGAGGCACATGGTAAAGGAAGTCATTTAAGGCATCTAACTGGCTTTTATACAGTCTGAGGAGTTGTAAATACAGTCCTATTGGACGGGGCAGCAAGAGCAGTGACTTCTGGGAACTACATTATTCAACAGTTGTAGTATGTCATATACAGTCAGGTCCATAAATATTGGGACATCGACACAATTCTAACATTTTTGGCTCTATACACCACCACAATGGATTTAAAATGAAACGAACAAGATGTGCTTTAACTGCAGACTGTCAGCTTTAATTTGAGGGTATTTACATCCAAATCAGGTGAACGGTGTAAGAATTACAACAGTTTGCATATGTGCCTCCCACTTGTTAAGGAACCAAAAGTAATGGGACAGAATAATAATCATAAATCAAACTTTCACTTTTTAATACTTGGTTGCAAATCCTTTGCAGTCAATTACAGCCTGAAGTCTGGAACGCATAGACATCACCAGACGCTGGGTTTCATCCCTGGTGATGCTCTGCCAGGCCTCTACTGCAACTGTCTTCAGTTCCTGCTTGTTCTTGGGGCATTTTCCCTTCAGTTTTGTCTTCAGCAAGTGAAATGCATGCTCAATCGGATTCAGGTCAGATGATTGACTTGGCCATTGCATAACATTCCACTTCTTTCCCTTAAAAAACTCTTTGGTTGCTTTTGCAGTATGCTTTGGGTCATTGTCCATCTGCACTGTGAAGCGCCGTCCAATGAGTTCTGAAGCATTTGGCTGAATATGAGCAGATAATATTGCCCGAAACACTTCAGAATTCATCCTGCTGCTTTTGTCAGCAGTCACATCATCAATAAATACAAGAGAACCAGTTCCATTGGCAGCCATACATGCCCACGCCATGACACTACCACCACCATGCTTCACTGATGACGTGGTATGCTTAGGATCATGAGCAGTTCCTTTCCTTCTCCATACTCTTCTCTTCCCATCACTCTGGTACAAGTTGATCTTGGTCTCATCTGTCCATAGGATGTTGTTCCAGAACTGTGAAGGCTTTTTTAGATGTTGTTTGGCAAACTCTAATCTGGCCTTTCTGTTTTTGGAGCTCACCAATGGTTTACATCTTGCGGTGAACCCTCTGTATTCACTCTGGTGAAGTCTTCTCTTGATTGTTGACTTTGATACACATACACCTACCTCCTGGAGAGTGTTCTTGATCTGGCCAACTGTTGTGAAGGGTGTTTTCTTCACCAGGGAAAGAATTCTTCGGTCATCCACCACAGTTGTTTTCCGTGGTCTTCCGGGTCTTTTGGTGTTGCTGGGCTCACCGGTGCGTTCTTTCTTTTTAAGAATGTTCCAAACAGTTGTTTTGACCACGTCTAATGTTTTTACTATCTCTCTGATGCAAACTTGTAATTCCTACACCGTTCACCTGATTTGGATGTAAATACCTTCAAATTAAAGCTGACAGTCTGCAGTTAAAGCACATCTTGTTCGTTTCATTTCAAATCCATTGTGGTGGTGTATAGAGCCAAAAATGTTAGAATTGTGTTGATGTCCCAATATTTATGGACCTGACTGTAAATAGTGCTGATGATTTTGCAAGAAGATGCTTCAGGCTGTGTTCAAAGAGGCAAGAGTTGTTGATGATTGACATGGGTATGTGTGTTTCCTGACAACTGTTGATGTTGTATGTGTTAGACTGGCACACTTGGTGAATGCAACAAAACCTAGTCTGGCACATCAGTGCCTTTTTTCTTGTTTTTGTCAGTCACTGTGACTGTCGCAGGAAAAGAAAAGTGGGGGCCTCATTCTAGCCTGTTGACTTCAGGTCTGTTACATCAGCACTCTGACAATGACAGTAGGCACATAGGCACAAAATCCTAAACATTTTTAAAATGGATTTGCACTTTTCACTGTCTGCTCTTGAATTGCCAACATATCCACTACATTACAACACCTTCAACTTTCTCACTGTCAACCATACATGTCAATCTGTAGCTTTCTCTCAAACACCCACTGATACTGGGTGATACTGATACAGTATGTCTGTTTGGTTGGCGTATAGCTAGATGCACTCTTTTGAGAGAACCTTATCAAAAGAGCTGATGTGTTTATGACAAAATTGCTCGTGCAGTAAATCAGTACCTTGTAGACATGGCACTGACCCTTTCCTCCTTTACAATTCAAACCTTTAGACTGCACTAACCTGTTGTCTCACTGCTTTGTTGCGGTTTCAGAAGTCCTTTGTTTCTCTTTTTGATTCATAGAGCCTTAGTGCAAATGCAGGGACATGCTTATACTTATTTCTTTAAACATTTCAAACAAGTATGAACTTATCATTTCCTACAAGCAGCTCAGCAGAGTTCACACTGTACCTGTAAAGTGTTCACATAAGCTCCTGTAATCAGAACCTGCCTTGAGGTGGGTACAAAAGATACCCAAAGAAAAAATACTTCAGTAGAATGTTTCTATAATCTATATACAGGTTTTTGGAAGCACAGTGCTTGACATATGTTATATATTTGGGCAAGACTCATGGTGTTCCCCCTGTGTGGTTTAAATGCACACTTCACCAGAAAGTGCTGTCAGTAGACATCAACAGTCATCAGTGGAGCAGAGCTACTACATCAGGAATTTGGGTGGAAGGGTGAGACCTTTAGTGCACGCAGTGTTCACAGATTGTGCAATCAGCATGTCATACTGTTCTGACTGTAGCCACTGGTGTGAGAAATCAAGGGCTGGGATTAAATCATTGTAGTCATAGTTGTGTGGACTACCGTGTGACTTCCACACGTTCATGTTTTTATTTTTCTTCTTCAACACAGAACAAATTGTATTGATCGTAAGGATTTAATGACCTTTGTTTGGTGAAGTGACGCAGTGTTTCCCCTATAATAATACAAGCATGGCGGCCCACCATGCCTGTAGTATTATTATTATCATTATTATTAACAATTTTTATTTTTCTTAAAGATTGTTCTAACTTCTTAGATTCTGAAGAAACTGGTAGCTTTCACAGTTATCTCTGTGCAATAAATACATCTTAGTAATACTCTCCTTGTTTTACCTGCCCTTAACATGGTAATTACAAACCAACTGTCTTGTGTTGCACAAGAAGTAAATAACCAAACATTTTGGTGCGGCAAATCTCTGTCATCCTCTTGCTCCCATACCTGAAAGGTTTTCTAGGGGAAACACTGTTACATGTTTGGAGGCTTTCCTAATGTTGAGTGTAATACTGTGAGGACATCATGAGTTACACGGTTATGGTCTGAAACTCTTCCCCCGTTTTTTTGTTTATTTTTTGGGGGGGGCAGCAGTAAATGCCATCTCACCCCTGAAATGTAAATGTGCATTTGTAAGCTTCAGTTGCTTTGTAACCTCTTGCAGCGTATGACGACCATTAACACCCATGTACCTTGTTGTCTTTAGTCTCAATTCAGATTCTAGATCCCTTGGCGTCGGTCAGCATGTTCCTAATTGCCCATGAGTCATAGCTACTTTCCAGTTTGGTGTATTGAAGGATTCAGATTTGTGTATTAAAGCAAATGAGCCAGTGTTCTTGTATTTGTCAAATGATTTGCCTGTGGATATGTTTAGTTTCACTCTGTCTGATTGTAGCAGTATTTGTTCAGCCAGTTAATTTTTCTTTATCAGTTGTGACTTAAGTATTTTAGATGTTATGCAGGTATTTATTTTTATTTGGCCGCATCATATTCACACTTTTGTAAGGGATGCAGCTGTTTTTGCAGATGTTGCAAGGCAGTGCAACTTCAGCAGCTTTTTAACCTTATAAATTGCAAGTTTTGTCACATATATTTTTTTTTTAGCCAAATGTGATTGGAAATATTGATCTGTTATTATCAGTGTAAACAAACTGTTATATTAATAACTTGTCATATTAAGTTATATAGATATAGATGGATAGATATGAGACCTTGTGTATTAAAGATGTTATCTATCGATTTTGAGAGTGATTAGAGGTTCCAGTCCTATCTTTTAAATTTTGGAGGTGGAGCTGCTCTTTTGTTTTTATAAAGGCTAGTGCCTTAAAAGGAACCTACATTGAAAAACATGCATTTGTTGCTGAAACTTTGCCTTTTGTGGTGTTTCTACTAGTTGAGACTGCATAAAGAAATGGCCAAGCATGCGCTTCAGTCCAGACTATGACTCAACTTCCTGCCCTTGGTTAATTTTGTTATGGTAGGGTAGGCATTCAGAGCACGCGAAGCTTCTAGCCACAGTTGTCAACAGTTGTCTTCTAACTGTCGTAAACCTTTGGGTTTGGGATTGTTTCCTTTAGCCGAGTTGAATAACATCATGTGCCTGCTTTTGCTAAAAAGAGAAATGAGATGAGCACTTCCAGATGTCACGGTGGTGGTGTTTGGTTTAGGCAGCATAGTCTCATATGCCCAAATGCATAAAACTGTCATTAAATTACTTCAAAAATTTGAACTGCCCACATGTTATGTCTCTACATGTCAGTTTAGCTTGCAGTGCTTTACTCTGAATGAAAGTGCAAATACGACTGTTTATGTGTGTCAGTGTGAATCTAAGCATGTATGCATTTGTCATGATCTATAGAATTCCTTTTTATTCACCATTTTGCTTGTTTCATAAAAGATCGTCAAATGTTCTACATGTTTGTTTTATTTTTCCACTGAGAACTAAACATTTTTAAACAATCTTAGCTTTTCCGTGAATTAGCAAAGGTATTCTGTGGCTTCGTTTGCACTTGTTTGTGATACTCTGTCTTTCCACTAGGAATCTCAAGCAGCTCAGAGACAGATCCTCATGGAGTTCCTTAAAGAAGCCAGGAGAAACAAGAGAGAAGTACTGTTGTTTTTATAAACATAAGAATGCTCTTGCACTGCTTTGCAAAGAGCATTCAGTTGGCATCACAGTGCTATTTTCAGAAATATATGTATTGGAGAAATCTCATCTTTATAAAGTTTTAAATTGTAAATAAAATGAGATATACTCATATGAATTTAAAAGAAAGACTCACAGCTGGTATACTTCTCTGTTTGTGTCTTTGTCAACAGCAACTGGAGCAACTGCAGAAAGAGATCAACTTTCTCGAAGAGGACATTAAGCGAGTTGAGGTAAAGAAACCAACTGTATGTTATTTGTTGTAGTTTGGTTGCTGATTTGGCTCTGTTGCTGCTGTTTGTTTCAAAACTCTGGGTCATATGTCAGTCTTGAACACAGACACAATATACACATACTTTTATTTTCTGTTTCAGAAAATAAAAGTATGTGTATAAATTAGATAAGAAATCACAGAAAAGGTGCTCTTTATAACTACAAAACAAGTGGGAGCCACTGATTGTCACAACTTGAGATTACATGTTTGTATTTTCCAGGAAATGAGTGGGTTATGTTCCCCAGTTATGGAGGCAGAGTGTACAGTGCCTAATGTTGAGGCTCCCTCACCAGCATCCAGGTACAGCTGACCTCTGTGTTCTGACAAATTATATCTATGCAGGAAACGAGCATGAAAATGTTTTGCCTTTTGCTCTCTATTGTCTTTTAAAGCAGCTACTTTGTTAAACAGATCAAAGCACATACTATATAGTTAAGATGTTGTAGTGTGGCTCATATGTTTGTCTGTCTGTTGAGTAGCTGTATCATTGAGCCACCAGACTATAGCCAGCCTCCAGGATTTGGAGGAGCAGCCCAGGTAAGTCAGAGAAACATATTTGGCTGTGTGTGTGTTTTCTTGTTTTGCATGGGGTTTAATAAAGTCATTTCTTACCCTGTTTGATAGCTGCATCTGTTTGTTTCTTTCATCTTGTTCAGTTTTATTCTAATTGTTTAATTAGTTTTGTCTTAGAGGAATGTGAGCGCTTTCTCTGTGATTTCTAAAATATATCTTAGTGCACAAGTTGTGGATATTAAGCTAAAGGTCTGCCAAGTGTTAACTATATTATTTTAATATTGACAAAAAACACACGCATTCTCAAAAAAACTAAATGAGAATAAATGTTAGCATGTATTAGCAAGCATCTGTACTCTTAAACTCCTGTGTATGTATTTTTCCAGGGAAAAAGGCAGACCTGGTACAACAGCACCTTGGCCTCGAGAAGAAAGAGGCTGATGGCTCATTTTGAGGATCTGGAGCAGTGCTACTTCTCCAACAAAATGTCCCGCATCACAGGTGCTAATACTGCAAAGTATTTGACTAGAAACAGTTGGATAACTATCTGTTGTTCTGATCCTGTATCGATTATTGGACAGTTTGGACTAGACGATGAAAGTAAGGCTTCATTTCTTAGAACTGTATATTTTACCTCAAAGGATAGATTGATGGTGTTTGTGTCACCCGGCGTTCTTGCTAAAGTTACTATTTAATGAGGACCACATTTACCGCCATCTCCCTTTGTTGCTGTCACAGAGTGGGTGTTTCTTATGAAAAGTCTCTGCTCTTAGCATTGGAAGAATAATAGTAATAATTGTATTTGTATAGCACTTTTCCAAACCATAGTCACAAATTACTTCATAGGATGAAGCTCCAAATAAAACATGGAATAAAAACAGCAAAAATAGACAGAGGTCAAGAAAATGAGTAGAATATTAATAAACGAGCATAAAATGCATAATTCATTATTAGCGACAGGTTTACGTCAGAGAATTACCATAAAGTAATAACCTGGCATGTAGTTTTGGCTTGACATAAAAACAATAAGTGTGTTTTAAGAAGGGATTTGAGAGATGATACTGAGGTAGCAAGCCTAAACTCCTCCACCAGTGCATTCCAGAACTGCAGAGCCTTGACAGAAAAGGCTCTGTCCCCTCTGGATACCAGCCTTGATCTAGGTACTGCCAAGAGATCCTTTATCGGAGGATCTCAGACGACAGTTTGATTCATACGGGGTAATAAGTACATAAATACAGTTCACAGCAAGTCCTCGTTTTGCCTTAAATGTTATTAGTAAAATTTGCCATTTTTGCCAAATTTGTTTGTGCTGCAATGCAAACATTACAGAAAGATCTTTGGTTTTAAATATTTTATCAATTTGATAACTGTGACAAGAAGCTCCTTCAACATTCTATATGATTATATTTTCTTTTTCTTTTTTTACAACATATAATTCATGCCCCCACTGCTGTTTGTAAAGGGTAACTTTATTGTTTGCATGGTGTTTTCAGATGAGGGCAGGAACCTGAACCAGTTGGATGATTTTATGGAGTGCTTGTCCAAATTCACCCGCTACAACTCTGTGCGGCCACTAGCCACCCTCTCCTATGCCAGTGACCTCTATAACGGCTCCAGTATCGTCTCCAGGTGTGAAAAGGAAAAGACTGAATTTGCTTGTTGTCTTTATTGCACTTTATATCTGTATTAACTTAAGACTATGAATTCAGAGAAACAAAGTGTTAATTTGCATGGTGAAATCATAGAAATGATGTTCTTTAAGTGTTGATAAGTCAGACCAAAGATGGTGCTTATTTTGTGCCATATCTTTATGATATAAACTGCATCACAGAATGTGTCTTCAACAAGGAACACAAATCTCAGTAAATTAGTTTTATCACTGTCTTTGCCCCACAGGTTCTAATTATATTATGAAGTTTAACTCCATGGTTTCTCCCATATGTACTCAAAAATGGTTTCATAGCAGTTGTATTGTTGGCATATTTGACTTATTTTTTAATACACAACATAATGTGATTTGTGTTACAGTTCTCGATCAGTACATCTGCAATAAACGGCACAGAATTCTTTTCAGCATAATCTTGAGCAACACACTGACTGTGTTCTCACTTCTGTCTCAGTATTGAGTTTGACCGTGACTGTGACTACTTTGCCATTGCTGGTGTGACCAAGAAGATCAAGGTGTTTGAGTACGGCACTGTGATCCAGGATGCTGTGGACATCCACTACCCTGTCAACGAAATGACCTGTAATTCCAAAATCAGGTAGGGGAAATATTTTCTTTCCATATGAGCAGGGATGTGCAGGCATCTTTCAGATCCTACAGTGCAGCGGTTCTGCTCTATGCAGGAAAAAGGATGTGCCCGTATTACTGTTGTAATTGGACATGAGCTGCTGTGTTGTGCCGGCCAGAGTCAGAGATGCTGACTGAAGTAGTTGTTGAGGATGTGGCTCTTTGAGAACTGAAAGTGACCCCAGCCGTGTTTGTTGTAGCTGTATCAGCTGGAGCAGCTATCATAAGAACCTTCTAGCCAGCAGTGACTATGAGGGTACCGTCATCCTGTGGGATGGATTCACCGGCCAGAGGTCCAAAGTCTACCAGGTATGATAATTAGGTCTTGAGTATCACTTTTTATGATAAGGGATCCAATTCTGTTATTAAATGGCAATGGTAAAATGCATATTTGACTTTGCAGGTTGAGTGAGTTAAATGACCAATTGTGTCAGTAATGTCGTGACATCTTTTGTAAGGTTTCCTTTGCTTTCTTTTTAGGAGCATGAAAAAAGGTGTTGGAGTGTTGACTTCAATCTGATGGACCCCAAGCTCTTAGCCTCTGGGTCTGATGATGCTAAAGGTAACTGAAGAATATTATGTCTGACAGATTTTCAAACATACTGGAAATCATCTTCCAGTTTTTCAGCTTGTGTTACACCCTACCCATGGGCAAATGTCTGTTTTTTATTTTCCTTTTTCAGTGAAGTTATGGTCAACCAATCTTGACAATTCCGTGGCCAGCATTGAGGCAAAGGCCAATGTGTGCTGTGTTAAATTCAGTCCGACCTCCAGATATCATCTGGCCTTTGGCTGTGCAGGTAGGATTAGGATCGGTTTTAGGTTGTGAGTGTCAAGCATCTCTTCTTTGTCCTCATGTTACTGTTGATTGTGAACTAAATTGACAGAAATATGTAAATATGTAATTATTGTTGGAAATGTGGTTATTTCCAAAAGATGGTTGTTATTTTTCTTGGCAACTTTCTAATCTACATGACACCAACACGGTATACAGTGGGTACGGAAAGTATTCAGACCCCCTTAAAATCATTTAAGTTCATTTTTCTCCTCATTAATGTACACACAGCACCCCATATTGACAGAAAAACACAGAATTTTTGACATTTTTGCAGATTTATTAAAAAAGAAAAACTGAAATATCACATGGTCATAAGTATTCAGACCCTTTGCTGTGACACTCATATATTTAACTTAGGTGCTGTCCATTTCTTCTGATCATCCCTAAGATGGTTCTACACCTTCATTTGAGTCCAGCTGTGTTTGATTATACTGATTGGACGTGATTAGGAAAGCCACACACCTGTCTATATAAGACCCTACAGCTCACAGTGCATGTCAGAGCAAATGAGAATCATGAGGTCAAAGGAACTGCCTGAAGAGCTCAGAGACAGAATTGTGGCAAGGCACAGGTCTGGCCAAGGTTACAAAAAAAAATTTCTGCTGCACTTAAGGTTCCTAAGAGTTTGGGATGACCAGAACCCTTCCTAGAGCTGGCCGTCCGGCCAAACTGAGCTATCGGGGGAGAAGTCAAGCTGCTCTTGCACGTCTGCTCTCGCTAAACAAGCGAGAGCAGACGTCTTTACTGCTCCTCTTGTCTGATCTACGATTTTTCACATCTTCTACACTTTCAAGTCTTGGAACAATTTCCACAACTATTAAAATGCCTCAAAGAGGGAAAAGAGCTAATAAATCAGAAGCGAATGAGGATATGGAGGCAGAAGAAGTGGATCACAGAGCGGCGCAAGTAATAGACATTGTGGATCAGCAGAAACAGATGTACATCGCGCTGATGAACCAACAGCAGGAAAACTTCAAAGGCTTCGTGCAACTAATTATGGAGACAAACAACAAGAGACTCGACGACATGACCAGAGAAATACAGGAGATAAAAACGAGTTTGCAGTTTACCCAGC